CTTCAAGAGGATCTCAGTGATTGATTTACCAGCTGTTGGGGCTACTGTCAGATGCTGTTCAAGGGGAAAGTTAGGACACTAGATGTTCAGTCAAAACACAACTGGTGTATGAATTCCAGATGATGAAGAGCTGTTTTACTGGAGTGACAATATATCAGAGAGGCAGACCACAAAGTTTTCTGATGAAAAAAGCGAATACTGCAGAGTTTTCTAATGAAAAAAGGGGATACTACACAGAATTGTAATGAAAAAAGCGGACACTACAAAGTGTTGTAATGAAAAAAGCAGACACTACACAATTTTCTAATGAACAAACCGGACACTACAAAGTGTTTTAATGAAAAAATGGGACACTACACAATTTTCTAATGAATAAAGCGGACACTACAAAGTGTTTCAATGAAAAAAGCAGACAGTGCACAATTTTCTAATGAACAAAGCGGACACTACAAAGTGTTCTAATGAAAAATCGAACACAACAACTTTCTAATGAATAAAGTGGAGACTACATAGTTTTTTAATGAAAGAAGCGGACACTACACAATTTTCTAATGAATAAAGCGGACACTACAAAGTGTTGTAATGAAAAAAGTGGACACTACACAATTTTCTAATGAACAAAGCGAGGACTTTACACTCCTCCACATTTTCCGGTTGGACTCCGGATGGACTCCGGCAGACTCCAGATGGATTACTGCTGTTCATCCAGATTTTTTCTTTGGTGGCAACCCAGCCAAATGTTAGTCTAGGATCCACCTGGACTCCAACTGGAGTCCAGGTCCACCATTTGGACTGCATGGACTCCAGCTCATAACACAGTCAACCAGCCAGACTCCATATGGAGTCCAGAAAGAGTTTACAATTTCTGTTTATTTATTATTGTTATTATTATTAGACCAGAAAAAAAGAATGCTATGACCGGGAATTGAACACTCAATCACTTGGGCAGCTGTAACTGCCACAATAAACCACTACACCACGAAGGCTTTATTAGCCCTATAACTTTTACACATCATATACCCTCGCTCCC